ACTCATAAATTGAACATCATCAAAATATACAGTTCAAATTTCAAATTTTAAATATTCAAATTATTATTATTAATATATAGTTTGAGGTTTGTTCGGGGAAAAAAGTACCCTATTTTGTTGATAAATTACTGTAATTCACATAGATGATGATAATAGTTTCCCACAGTAGTAAGATTAAATAAATGTGGTTTAAATTCATGTATGAAAAAAAGATCAAAGAATATGAGAATATCTCCAATATGTCAGTTATGGTCACGTATCTTAAGGCATCCACTCATATAATTGGCAGGAACAAACCATTTTTATAAAGGAAGATAGGTACTCACAAGGATAGGAGGAATATTGATTAATTTGGACCAAATATTGTTTTCTGTTCTACCCAATGTTGGAAAAATAGAGAGATATAGACAACAGTATACACTCTTACATTCATATTCATTGTGTACAAAAAAGCCAATGTATATATCAAATTTCATCAAACCTGTACATGGGAATAAACAAGCTCACTTTAAGGGATGTAGTAGAGATTTTTAGGAAGTAAAATTCACATTAATTATTTTTATAGAAGAATTGTTTTAAACCATATTTAACTAAAAGAATATATATAATTTACACTAATTAAAAATCAATGTTATGTTAGATGTATCCTTAGTGTAGTGATTAGACTGTAAATAGACTGCCTTGTGATCTGAGATACCACATATCTATGACATGTTGGAGATACAGCTTCAGATCTGCATTTATTAAAACAAGATGGCCATTTTGAATCTGATTAAAAAACTGACCTGCATCAGTGTCCCCAATGTCCCATATTGTCAAATGTTTGTACCAAGTTTGCACAAAACATCCATACATGACCGATATCTGTTCCAGAATGTCTGATGTTTGTACCAAGTTTGAATAAAATTAGTCCATAGACAACTAAGATTTGGTTCAACAATGGCAAAAATGCTTTATTTTATTGAACTTTTAACATTAAAATGGCTGCTATACCACCATCTTGAAATGAATTGTCCAAATTATGATGTATATATAAAGTTTGAACATGACTGGTTAAGGCATGTCAGATATGGCTCTGGAATATCATTTATTAAAACAAAATGGCCACCAATCAGCCATTAAACCCGATCAAGAAACAAAATGATGTGCATGCATCTTCCATAGTTTCTGATATTTGTTGAACAAATTCCGTTTATAAACGACCAAGATCTGGCTCGGAATGGCAGAAATGCTCGATTTTGATGAATTTTTAACATTAAAATTGAAGACATTTGGTCAGCTTGAATTTTAAATGAAAAACAAAATCATGTGCATCAAGGCCGCAACAAACTGTGAAACCCCCTTTATGTATTGGTTTCAGCCAAACATACTTGTGCAATGTAAAGTGGTTATTGAGTCAAATAATATAACTGGGGTCAGCAGGTAAATATACATCAATACCAGCTGTGTTATAGATGCCATTAAAACTGGCAACATATTACAAAACCTGATATTCCCTGATCACTTGAGTGTCAGTGGATTATATCTGGAAATCATAATTATGGTGTAAGAATAGACCTCCTTTATCCTGGTATCCCGGTAGTAAATACAAGCGTGGGTGTTTTACATCTACAGTAGTGTGAGTCGTGTATACACCATGCATTAAGTTAGAAGCTACATCATTTGTATGAACACATACTTGATGGATAATATATCAAAACTGTAATAACACAGCTAGTAAATGAAACATCATTATCAATTTATAATAAAAAATAAGTGTAGTCATTTTCATCTTATTGCAAGTTTATCACCTGTGATTAAAGAATACCTTGCACATGCACATCTCCTACAAAATTAGCAAGTATTACTGTGGAAAAACAAATCCTGTGATTCCCAAGGATGGAGTAATTGGGAAAATTAAGAAAAGCGAAGTCTGCATATGAATTAAACTTTAAAAACAAAATTTATAGGGGAAACATTAAAATTGCATTTATTGTATACTGATTTATTTTGACCATAGACTCAACCATAGTGCACATGCACTACTAATAAAGCAAATACATTAAGTAAAGCTGAATTAATTTGTATTTTGATGAATCAATGGTTAACACATTGACTGTAGGTGATGTGTTAAATGTGTGAAAACATATTGGACCACGTTTCTATGATTGACTTTATCTATAAATACATACTGTACTGTACGTAATAGTCATGTTTCCAGAATCAGCAAAGAGTACTGTAAAATCTGTATTAAAAGCCACAGCTTCTAATAAAATGGTACAATGCAACAGAAGGGATGTGAGTTCTATTAGAGCTTCTACACATAAAAGAAATAATGAATTTCTGGTTCTCAATTATTCAAAAAGAATGGGTGCGAATTCTATTACAGATGCGGCTTCTAATACATATTTTACGGTAATCACTTTCCAGTGATATGACTGTGACAACACCCTTGAGATGATAAAATTAATACATACCAACATCCATTCCATCCAGTATATCGCCATGGTGAGCAATAACATGTCCAAATTTATTGAATATTTCTCTTCTTTTTCTCATATCATAGAGATATCTATTGACTTTTAGTGACTTAATACAGCCGGCAAATCCTCTGCTGACACTAGTGTACTCAGATATGGCACTAAGGTTCTTATATCCACCAAGATATAGCGATTCACGTAAAGTTATTCTGGAATACATACCCTGCACAAAATACAAGACATTTATCAACTGGCAAAGGGGATTGCTTCTCACAACTCATATTTGATCACTTTTTAATAACTATATGCAATTTCAGATATAGGATATTATGTATAGTTTTGAAATGACAGAGTTGATAAAAGTGACTGAAAGCTCTTTTTTTTCCATCTCATTCTAAGTGTTGGGAAACACTAGATGTTCCATCCAATCTAAAGTTATTTCACTCAAGGTTAAGATTGAAGTGTCACATGTTTCTAAAAATGACTTGCAATAATAGATATATTTATTACAAGACTGATATTAAAATCCCCATCAATGGCTTCTTACAAGCCACATAAGATATCCACACATAAAATCAAATTATTCACTGGCTATGGAATGCTAGAAGGAGTTTATTTTTTTCCTCCTTATGTATTCGCAAAACATCACTGCCTCTGAAACATGATTGAGACCAAAAGAAATTTACTTTTTTGTCCTAGGGAAAATAGAAAAATAATTCATTTTTTTTTGTATTAACATATCAATAGAGGGAAAAAATACCATGACAAGATATATGTTAACATTTTAGATTAAATATTGGTTGATTTGGATAGCAAAGATATTCTGAAATAGAAACCAAACATTTCCCGATTTTACCATGGTTGTCTATGTTACCAGTACATAACATATGTGAGATACAGGTTTCAAACTAAAGCATGTAATAATGAGAAGCATGCTTCATTTATTTTGATGTAATGTATCCTTATACTTATACAGCAGCTACTGTGATGAAGTACAACAAAAAATTATCAATAATATTAATTTCATTCAGAGAGACCCTAATTAAATACATTTAATTTTTAAATCTCAGTGTCATTATAGCACAAAATAATTTGTTGACAGAAACATTATAATATCATCTAATAATCAATACAGGAAATGAATGTTCTGATAATAGCTATTACAGACTTTCATACGCCTAGAAGCTGTAATATTGACACATAAGTTACAGGTAATACTGTAAACCACTTAATTTACTCTGATAGAAATTTTCACACTTTGATGATTAATGGAATTTTTTAAAAAACAAATTTCTTACCACAGTCCGTGACTCTCATAGAACCCCAGAGAAATTTTCTCTGATACAAAATTTCACGATTTACACTGACTCGCAAAATTCAAAGCAGTTTACAAACAACTATTATCGTTTACCACTAGATATTAACCAGTTACTAACCTGAGAACTTCCGTGCACAGGTTGTTCATCATTGACTTGTACCCAACCATTTATCTGAGATCTATATATTGTTAACTGATGCCATTCATTTAGAGATATATTGTAGTTACTTGTTATTATTGCTGGACCAGTACCACAATTAAATCTAGTCAAACACAACATAACTATTGTAAACATTCTCTATTAACTTATTTTAAACTGCATATGTATGAACATAATCATACAAACACAAAACTAGTTTAAAGCAGCAGTTGTCACTCTGTGTATTTATATTTATATATGGGACCCACACAACATATATAACATATGTGAAATACAATTGTTTGTTTAAACCAAATTTGAACAGACACAGCATGACTGCTACCGCTACAGTAAATGTTCAATAAAGTAGCATTCCCATTTAGCATTATTTAGCATTATACGCAGAACACATCCCTCTGATTATTGTGATCACCATGAAAAATGATAAAATCTAATCAAAGAAAGCTTAGAAAGAACTCCCGTGTGCTGAGAGTATTGAAGACACATTAAAAATTAATTCAAAATTACTTGTACATGAGATATTGATAGAAAAGCTGAAAACTAATTATGTACATCAGGTAACTAATATGAACAGAACAGAACAAAAAAATTATGAATTATTATGCTAATTAGAGAATTAATATGAACAAATTTTAACCCAAAATTAATCAGGCCTGTCTATTGTCCTAGAGCATTTATGTACCAAATTTTATTCAAATGTGATGATCAGTAATTGAGATATCAGTGTTAATTAATTATGTTAATTAGGAGATTAATAAGCATAAATATTTACCAAAAACTAATTGGGTTTCTGCATAGTTCTCTTTAAAAGTTTCATTAAAATCCAATTTGTGGTTCTTTATATATCAGTGGAACATTATGCAAATTAGGTAATTAATATCCAATTAAAACTAATTAGGTCTCTGCA